GTGAGCCTGAATTTAAATACATTGGGAATATGCATGGTAATGAGGCCGTTGGACGGGAACTGCTCATTTTCCTGGCCCAATACCTGTGCAACGAATACCAAAAGGGGAACGAGACCATCGTCAAGCTGATCCACAACACTCGTATCCACATCATGCCTTCCCTCAACCCCGATGGCTTTGAGAAGGCTGCATCTCAGGTGAGTTCTGGCCAGCTCAGCTCAGAGCAGGGCACGCTTTCTTCATTTCATATGTTTGTACCTATGTGCTTATGTGTAAGTAATATACTCATATGAAGTTTACACAGAGGGCAGAGGAGGATATAAGGGACATGCCATTCAACTTGCTGGCAAGAAAAAAATTTAGAAGGTAAGAGATGGTGGGTGAATTTCTTCAGCAGAGATTGCCAATGAGAAATTTTGTTAATAAGTCAATATTCAATTGTTTTGTTGTTAAATAAATCATATTTATTCACCCACATTTGTGACTAGATAAATTTCCTTTCTTCTAAAAATCTAAAAATAGGACTATTGCCAAGTGTTGAAGAGTAATGCCATGGCTGTCTCTGAATGAGGTGATGTCCTAGCGCCCTCTACTGACAACGAGGAAGAAATATTTTGGCCAGATGAATGTTTAATTCTTGTCTATGTATGATGAGTAAAGTAAAAAACAACAACAAGAACTCTTCCTACATCAAACATGAAATTAATTTAATACATTGTAACTGTTAGAGAACCTGGGAAGTAATGACAAAATTGTAAGAGAAAATATATGGTATGCGTTCCCTTTTTGTTTGCACAGGTGTGGAGAACCTTAGCTGCAGTTTTCTTATTTTATAGGAAGGTACTAAAGTATATAATAGGATGCTTATCTCCAGGTAGAAAGTTGATTTGTACCCTAAAAATGAAAGGTCCAGTGATCTGTCGGTTTGACATTGTAAGAAACCCAGACAGTGAATTTCTATAAATAACATCGATACAATTTCTAAAGTGATAAAAGGAAAATTCTAATAACATAGAGAATTAAATTATTTACTATCTTAAGAACTGTAATATTATTTATTATAATTAATAATTATAAATATAATTATTTATATTAAGAACTGTAAGACAGAAGGACAAAAAGATTATCATTTTTATTTTCCGTTTTAGATTTTTATTCCTTAGAGTCTAAGTTATCTGGGCTTATATAATCTCAAGAATATGGGAATTAGCTCTATATCATAGATTACGTATAATTTAATAGTAAAACAAGAAATACGCATTACGGAATATAGCTAAATGTCTTGGAGATTCATTAAATATCCAGATTATGCCATTACTGGAATAAAGGGCTTAAAATTGAACAGAAATTTTTCAACTTACAGAGCTCTATGAAGTTGTTCATGAAGACTGTAAGAGGGAGGTATATTACAAATATGTAAATAATTTATGTTAAACTCATTTAAAACCTTCGATCTTGGGGCGCCTGGGTGGCGCAGTCGGTTAAGCGTCCGA